TTCTCCGCCTCTTCCCCTAAGGCCCCGCCCCTTCTCCGCCTCTTCCCACGAGGCACTGCCCCTTCTCCGCCTCTTCCCACGAGGCCTTGCCCCTTCTCCTCTTTCCTTGAGGCCCCACACACCTGCTCCGCTTCTTCCCTGTTCCCCCCCCAATTAAAAAAAATGGACATCAGGGCTTGTCAAATGGCACCCGGACACACAAGCCAAAACCCAGACTGTCTGGGTGAAAACCACATGGGTGGCAACCCTACCCCCCAAGCACTCAATCCAGCCCCCTCCCAGCACCTCGTCCTCACCTCCTCCTTTGTGCTCCAGGTGCTTAATTCGCCCCCCTCCCCTGCTAATTCTCATCCCCCCACACCTCCCCAATACTCAAGTGACCTCCTCCCCTCTGGTTCCCATCCCCCTCAGGCGTGGGATCCGGGGGTGAGCCTGGTGCTCTCGGGGGTGACACATCCTCAGGCCAGTGGCGGCCGTGGGACAGGGCACGGGTGGGTGCGTGCATGGCGGGAGACCACCTCTCGTTGATCAGACCGTATCCCTGCCCTGTGGGGCGGCTGGGTTAGCGCCCGACAGCTGCCAGGAGCACCCACTGTCTGTCCTAGAGGGGAGGGCCTGCTGCCTGTCCCCTGTTCTGGGAAGGGGGCGGGGGGCCACTGGCCCCAGTAAACAGCTCCGGAGAAGGACGGGAAGCTGGTTAGGAAGTGGGCGGCAGCTGGGGCCAGGCCTCCTGGGGCAGGGCGGACGCCCAACCTGAGCTACCATCCCCCAGCCGCCACGGGGTGGGAGCCACGTCCGGGGCAGGGAAGGCTTTCATGCCCCATCCCCGCAGCCCCCCCGGCAGTGTGGGGGAAGGGCACGGCTGCTGCTGTGGCGTCCTCTGCCCAGGCCGGGGGCTGGCTGCTCCTCCTCTCCCCTTCCCCCCACCAGGTTGGCAGGAGGGAGAGGGCAGCCTCGGCGGCGGCGGCAGGGCCTCTCTGTGGTTTGGCCGGGCCAGAGGGGGCGGAGTCTTTCTCCGCCTCAGCCCCGCCCCCTCCCTTAAAGGGCCGGTGTTGGGTGGCGGCAGCGTGGGCGCGCTGGTGGCGGTTGCGGTGGGAGCTGCGGCTGAAGGCCTTGCCACAGTCGGGACACTTGTACGGCTTCTCGCCCGTGTGGACACGCCGGTGCCGCTCCAGGTGGGAGATGAAGCCGAAGCTCTTGCCGCAGACGCCGCAGGGGTAGGGTTTTTCGCCCCGGTGGGCCCGCTGGTGGGCCAGTAGCTGGGCCCCCGCTGCGAACCGCTTCCCGCAGTCCTTGCAGCGGTGGGGCCGGCCGCCAGAGTGGACGCGCTGGTGCTGGGCCAGGGTGGAACTGACGGCAAAGGCCTTGCCGCACTCGTCGCATTTGTAGGGCCGCTCGCCAGTGTGGACGCGCCGGTGCCGCTCCAGGTGGGAGCTGACGCTGAAGCCTTTCCCGCAGTCCCCGCACTCGTAGGGCCGCTCCCCGGTGTGGATGCGCCGGTGCCGCTCCAGGTGGGAGCTCCAGTTGAAGCCCTTCCCGCAGTCCCCGCACTGGAAGGGCTTCCCGGCCGCGTGGGACTTCTGGTGCCGGGCCAGCGCCGCCGGCTCGCCGAAGCTCTTCTCGCACTCGGGGCACTTGTGGGGCTTGTCGGTGGCGTGGAGGCGCTGGTGCCGGATCAGGTTGGACCGCTGGCTGAAGGTCTTCCCGCATTCGGCGCAGCGGAATGCCTTGTCCACCCCTGTGGGCGCCGGCGGCTGCTTGAGGACTCCTGTCTGGCCGGCAGGTTTGTCCTGATTCTTCCCCTCCAAGTTCTGCAGTTTCCCATCCGGCCCTGGGCTGGGATTCTCCACCTCCTCTTTGTCTGATGATGTCTCCTGCAGCTCTGTTTTCCCAGGAGATCCTGGTGGCTGCTCTTCCTCTTCCTCCTCTTCTTCCTCCTCCTCCTCCTCCTCTTCACTCGCTGACCCTTCGCCTGCAGGGAAAGAGAATCCAGATGTGAGTCACGAGGGAGGAGGGTCTCCCCACTGCAGCACGTTGTACCAGGGGGTGAAATGATGCTAACCCTAAGGGTGTGAAAGGAATCATCGTCATTCCCTGTACTGGGGGGTGCAATGTGGTAGAACCTAGAGAAACTGAGAGAGATCAGGGCCCCGTTGTGCCGGGCGCTGCACAGACACACAGCGAGAGACAGTCCCTGCCCCAGCTGAG